GTGAAAAATGTAAAAATAAAATAAAATAAAAGTAGAGTATTGCAAAAATATTTATTGTTTGTTAAATTTTCCAAATTGTATCAAGTCTTCTCTTACATATTTGCCTCTTGTATACATAACGTTAGTAAATTATCTTCTAATTCCAAGTTATAAATTTCTTCCTAAACAATATAAAATCTAAATAAATATCTTTTTCTATCAATTATCTCAACAAAATTGAACTTTTCAGCCTCGTTCACATTTTAGCTACATTTTTATAGATTAATTTCCAAATCCAAAAAATAAACGAATTAGGTTAAATTGGGGTCATACGAACCGAGAGCATGTTTGGCTTGTGTCCCATACATAACAGGCTAACCCTAGGGTTCATCTCGGCCTCAAGAAACTTGAGCTTCCACCCTAGTTTTTCTTGTCTCTTTTATTTGGTAGATTCACTCTCTTAGCTCATGTTGGGCTCTTTGCCTCTTAGTCTTCCATGTTTTTGTATCCAATTTTACCTATAACATTAGCCTCACTCCTTAGTTAAGATTTGTGATTTGACTTGACTACCATGCATGGAACTCAACTAAATGCATGATACCATTCTCGAAACACTTTTATTAACTTGATTATTTTTCCTTAATATTATTCTTCAGATGAAAATCAATTTATTGGGAGTTAATTTTAATGCTTCGAAATAGTATTCAAATTTTCTCAAGGATTATCATCAATTCATCACATGAATCACGAGGATATTCTTTGGAGGGATAAGATTTTCCTTTGAGTTCATGAACTCATCACATGAATCACGAGGATAACCTTCGGGAGGGGTACGATTTTCCTTTGGGTTCATGAACTCATCACATGAATCACGAGGATATCCCTTGGAACAATTTATAGAAGAATGTTACCTGATGGAAAGAAAGTAGCAAAGAAGAAGCGCCTAATAAGAGGAAATGAAGGTGAGAGAGTTCCAAGCTCAAATGTAGATTCTTACTAGAAATGACTTCCATTGGTCGCACCTGAACCTTGTTCAACTTTACAGATGGTGTCTTGATGGATCAAAGAGGATTTTGGTAGATGAGTACTGTAAGGAGGAACTTGGGAGGATCCCAAACTGGACCAGTCAGATTAAACTGGCAGCAACACATTGATCTTGCAATTGATGTGGCACGAGCACTGGTCTTTCCTCACCATGAATGTTTCCCTTTTGTTCTACATCATGATGTTAAGGCCAGTAATATTCTGCTCGATAAAGATAGTCAGGATGGGTGAAAGACTTGGGCTTGACTAGAATTATAGATATGGTAGACAGCCATGTGAGTACCATGCTGGCTGAAACCATTGGTTATGTAGCAGCCGAGTATGGACAAACATGAAAAGCTACAATAAAAGGCAATGTGTATAGTTTTGAAGTTTTTCCAATGAAACATGTTGTAGCAAGACGAGCACTCGATGAAGGGGAAGAGTGTCTAGTCGAACGCACCAAAAGGGTGATGGGAAAAGGAAGACAAGGGTTGAGAAGGGAATGGTACCAATTGCAGTTTTGAGATCAGGCCTCGTTGAGGAGGTCGATGAGATGTGTGAACTTCTCAAGATCCGGGTGAAGTGCACTAAGCACCACCAGCAAGGCCAAATGAAGTTCTAGCTATGTTGATCAACATAACAGGCATAAGAGGAGATGAAATTAGCTATAGCTTCTCCTCTCCATCCTTGTGATGAAGATTGTGGTTGAAGAAATGTGCATAACCTAAAAGCTGTTCATACTTTGATAGACATAAGATATGGATACCTACACTCTTTAATTTATTGCCAATCATCTTGTAAACAAAAGCATTCATCATTTACAAAATGTCCATAAAAAGACAAAAGGTTTCCTTACCTATGCAAACACATATTATAACATACTAAAAAACTTTAGAAGTAATTTGCCACATCAAGATAGTAGATATACAAGTATGTATACGTAAATTCTTGTTCTTAGATCAAAATGATGAAAAATGATCTTTTTCAAGTTAGAAATGACGATACACTTATAAATCAGACAACCGCAAGTCTCTTATAGTGGTGAACTTTCGTTCATACACTTACCATAAGGTTTTGGCATCAATTCTTGATAGATTATAGTAAGTGTGAAAAGAAGTATTATATATATTTAAAAAATATTCAAACTTTCAAAAGTGAATATTGATACTTACAAAAGTGAATATTGATACACTTAACTTTTTTAAAAAATAAGTTATTACCGTGAATATATAAACAAAAACCAATTATCTATACTTCATAAACCACCTCTCTCCTTGATTTCTTCTCTCTCCGCCTCAAACTATGACCAAACAATTCCTCATTTTTTTTTTCTCACTTCTTTAATACACTTTATTCCTTGATATTTTTGAGACAAAAGTGAAAAATTTAAGAATATTGTTATTAATTTAGCCTTAGATTATTTAGTCTTATAGAGAATATATTTTGTTTATTAAAGACCGAGTGGGAACTATGTAAATCAAATATGTGAATCATTGCCACCTTGAATCCTAATTGAGATGTGACTAAAAAGAAAAGGAAAAAGAAAAAAAAAATTATCCTAAAGTTGAAAAAAGAAACTAAAAAACATAAAAAGATCACTTGTTATGGAATGGAATAATGCAAGGACAACCTTTTTTCTTTTTCTTTTTCCTCACTCATCATTCGTTAATTTCAACCTTCTTAGTTTGAAATTTAATATTTACAATTATACATATTACGTAACAAAATAACACAACCCTCAATTTGAAAATTGAAGAGAGTTCCTCTAATCTATATAATCTATATAATCTATATAACATAAATCACAAACAAACTCCTAAAATTTATAAAGTTGAGTAATAAGATACGAGAAGTCACAGAAGAATAAAAGTAAAGCAAGACATTGAAAAGGTTAAAAAAGGAAAAAAAAAAATCAAAAGTAAATTAATTAATTAATTAAAAAAATTACCCATAAAACTTAAACTTGTAATTTAAAAAATACTTATAAATTTTTAAAAGTTTCAATAATACATAAAACTTTCTAAAATGTCTCAAAAACACCCTTGCCATTAATTTTGGATGGAGACCATTAGTGTTATGTTTAAAAAGTACATTTGAACTTTCAATAGTGTTTCAAAAATACTTGGAAACTTTAAAAAGTTTAATTAATACCCTTCAACTATTTAAAAAAGTTAAAAAATATCCTTATTTTATGTTTGAAAAATACTCATAAAATTTAATGACAACATTCACACCTTCAACCTTTATAAACATATTCAATTTTTTTTTTACCGTCAATATATAAACAAAAATCGTCTATAGACACCTCATAGATTATTTCCTTTTTAATGTTACTTTTGAAAGTTTATTAATATTTTGAAACATGATACTAACAATAAGATTTTTTTTGAAGTTTTTAAAAAAATTTAAAGGTGTTTTTTAAGTTTTTTTTTAGTTTAAGGGTATTAATAAAACTTTTGAAAACTCAAGAATATTTTTAAACATTTTTTAAAGTTAAAAGAGTATTTTTAAAAAAAAATTTAAACTTCAAAAATATTTTTGAAACAAAAGTATTAAAGATTTTCATCCCAACTAAAACTAACTTGTACTTTCAGTTTATTTATTTATTTTTATTTTTTTAAATTTAAAAGTATGATTGAAACTATTAAAAATTTATGGGTCTTTTTGAGACAAAGTGCTACTTGAAGGGTATGTTTATTAATTTAGCCGTAATTAATCTAGATGTATCATTTTTATTTATTTGTACAATTTGTCATCTTTTTTCAGGAGGAAAGAGATGTCTATTGCAAAAAGAAACTTTTATAGCAATTGGCAAGTAATAATTAAGATAGGCAAATAAAATTTTATGAACATTGCTTGCTGTTTCCTTAATTGGATGTGGCCTAAGCTAGAGAGGGAAGGAGATTAGGAAGATAAAGAGTGATTAAAGGGAAAAAAATCAAGAAATAAAGTGTTTGGTGCAACTAATTTTCAATCAAAAGAACCACAGCTCTAGAAGCAATAATTGGTTGCTCATTTTCATACACACAATCTGTACCATTTTCCTCTCAACTTTCCTTTTCTCCATTGCAATCATCAACCATTTAACTCTGTTCTCTACAATGTTTTTGCCTTTTTCTTTTCCTTTCTTTTATAATTTTCTTAAAAGCAACTTTTGAAGTTGAGTAATCCAAACCAGATACTTTACATCAAGCTATTTGAATAGTTTTCATGGCCTAGGGGCAACCCTTAGCTCGTAAGCAGCTTAGTTTCTACTTCATGAGGTGAACAGAAATCCCCCACCTTCTTCTCCTTCCATAATTTTCCTATTCTCTTTGATAGACTTATACTTGTGAGACTATCATAGTCTAACCAATAGTTTGCTATACCACCATATCCCTTTATTTATGAATCAAGAACCATAAAAAGTATCAAAATCTAGAACCATAAAAAGTATCAAATAAGTCTCTAGACTTTCAACTTAGTGTCTAATACACTATTGAACTCTCAATTTTATTTCCAATAGACCTCGTTAACTATTCTTAAATTCATAAGATTTATAAAACATAAATCTTCATATAACATAAAATTAAAGATCGGAAACATACTAAACGACGAAATTAAAATCTTAAGGACCAAACAGAAGTTTAGGAACTTTTAAAATTCAATGTATTTAGAAACTTGTTAAACACTAAGAAACTAATAGGACTTTTAGAACTTTTCAAGAGTAAGCTCTATCGTGAATTAATTTATTATCCAACTTTTGAAACTCCTAGTTTCTTTTGACCAGAAAAAAAATAAAAAGAAGTAGAAGGAATGGCTGGGGAGATAGAGGATGCTGAAAAGAAAGAAAAGAATGGGCGTTTAGGTGCTGGAAAAAGGGCAAATGGAACAAGATTTGTCATAAATTTCCCCAACTTCCATCGCAATTTCCGGGATTTGTATAACGTGCCTACGCCCTCAGTTTCTCTCCCTCCGCCCTTCACAACAATACCTTTTTCTGTCTTGATTATTGATGAAGTTGAGAAAACTGGGCTATAAATTTTTTATGAAAAACTAAACTAATGTTGAATCATAGGGGTGGAAAAGAACTACCCCTCGAACTCATTTCTCATTTATTCACAAAAATTATATAAAATAAGAAACAAGAAGTGGAATCGTTATCTAAAGAGTCTTCAGAGTTTAAAAGTGTTATGAAAGCTACCTCAAACACTTGGCCAAAAACACTATTCTACAGGTGCCTTTTCAGCTATAAAAGTTATCTTTTACTGTCTTGATTTTGAGAAGAAAAAGCAGCTTTAGCTCGACAAAAAGACATACTTAGCCCACCCGGTTAAAAGTACTCTCAAATATAGCTTAAAGAACCTAAACTAATATAGTACAAACATATAATTGGAGGAGGAACAAGGGTCCAAAAGTCGCACAAGCTTCAAATTCAAAATGTTGAAAGAAGTTGAGGTATAGAGAAGTGGAGAGACATGGCAAGGCATGAGGTGTAGCAGCAGATAGGTGATTTGAAGCCATGAATGGAAAGATGGAGACAAGCTTGCCCACACTTCACATGCCTTAATTACTGTTTTATCTTTTTATCAAACACCTCAAGTGCACATCCCACTATCATCATCAAATTCTTCCCTATCTCTCCTCTCTCTCTGCCCTAAACTGACTTCTATAAATTTACCGCCCAACCGAACACAGAATGTCACAACCACAAGCAGAGAAAAACAGATCACAGAGAGAAAGAAATGGAGAGTCGTTCTTACGAACCTGAGAAAACCGCCAAAGACGTCTCACTGCATGAACTCAAGGACAGGCTCGCAGAGTTCGCTCAAGTGCGAGGATGGGAACAATACCACAGCCCTAGAAACCTGCTCCTAGCACTTGTAATTAATCAAACAAAAAACACATTGAAGTTAACATCTCAATCTCCAATTTCGACCTAAAAACAAACAAAATCAGTACATATACTAGGAATAATCTGAATCTTACATGTTGTTCTTATCGTTGATAGAATTGCAATTCCTTGCAGGTTGGCGAAGTCGGAGAGCTATCGGAGATATTCCAGTGGAAGGGAGAGGTGGAAAGGGGGCTGCCGAACTGGAGCGCGGCGGAAAGAGAGCATTTGGAAGAAGAGCTATCCGATGTGTTGCTCTATTTGGTGCGTCTGGCCGATGTGTGTGAGCTTGATCTCGGCCATGCCGCGCTCTCCAAGATCGTAAAAAATGCGAACAAGTATCCTGTAGCCGCTTCCGCTCGCGCGCTGCCATAAACTTCGCGCCTTCACTTCGATCCTTTCTCTGCTTAGTAATTTTGGAAGTCCGGAAAGAGTTTAAATTTTGTATTTTCAATAATTTTTGCTTCTTAATTTGTCCTTTAATAAATTTTAAATGTTTGGTATTTAGAACTTTTAATTTGATTTTTAATTACTCCCTCAAATTTAAAAATAATTTCAAATTCAGCTGAATATAAAAAATAAAAAAACAAAAAGTAAATAAGTTCTAAATTTAATATATATATTTTGACTTAATATATCATTTTTAAAGCTTTAATGACTAATTCTTTTAGGTTCAACGCATTCATAAATTTCAACCTCTACCGTTCATGTTCCCACAATATGGTCAAATATGGTCTATGGTCTATGTCCTCTTGACCTCAACTCCAACCGCAACCAATGGAGGATTTTACGACCGTCTTCATCAACAATTTAATTGATAATATTTATTTGGATAGTTCATGTTCTAAGAGTGGGGTTAGATGTCCTAAGAGTGGAGAGGGTTCTACAGTGGTCTTTAATGTTTCAATAGCAATAATCTAATTGATAATATTAATCTTGATAGTTCATGTTCCACAAGTAGTTAGACATTTCTGAAGTCCATTTCCACCGCACCACAACTCAACCCACTACCAAAATAGAGGGTTCTACAACAGTCAGACATTGTTGTAGTCCATGTCCTCCACACCTCAGCTCCAACCACAACTAACACAAATGGTTCTACAATGGTCTTTAACGTCTCATCAACAACAATCTAATCGAAATATTAATGTGGATAATTCATGTTCCGACACAGTAGTCAAACGTTGTCGTAACTCACACCCTCCACACCTCAGTTCCAATCACAACCAACTTAGAGGATTCTATAGTGATTTTCGACGTCTCAACAACAACAATCTATTTGAATACCCAAAAGTAAATTACACTTCACGCTCCAAATTTGATAGAATTAAATCAAGTCATACATAAACAATCGGTTCGAGAAAGGCACCAAGGAATCATTTTTTATGGAATGATTTTTCATATTCTCGAAAGCAATCATTTTTCCCCTTCATTTATTATGGAATAATAATATTTTAAAAATATGTAAAATACCGTATTATAAAATTAATGGGTCGAATAATAATTATAAAATTTATATGATGTCATTTTAAGTATCTAAGCATTATCATATATTAAGTGATATTTTTTTTTTGTCAAATTAGATAAAAAAATAACCTTGATTACTTTAGATAATTGAAATTAGATATATTAAAATAAAGTTAATTAAAATATAAAGTCTTGGAGAGTAAAAATAGTAGTTAAAATTAAAGATTAATTCTAATGGCTGCGGCTGCTTGCAGACCCTCTCCACCGCCGGCCCGCCGGCTTCAAATGTTGAAACCAACAGGGAACTGCATAATTTGAACTATGAACTGGAAACTATAATCCAGACTGTCTTTAACTGAAGATGAAAATGGATCTCAGGCTTCTGCCTTTCTCATTTCTTTTGATTCGAAGGGCTCGGCTCCAAGATAATTGTACGATCTCGAACTTGGATTTTTTAGCGAACCAATCACAAATATCGAGATTTGTGCATACCCGGGTGATGAATCTTCCGTCTCAGGGCGGTATTGAGAGAAAGATTCCTGATTGCCTGGATGCCCTCCGCAAGGAAGGCAATGACATGCGGAGCGACGGATATTTCCTCATGAAACTCATTGAGGACTCTGTTTCGAATAATGGGTTTGAATCTATTGCTCTTATTTTCTCTAAGTTTCGTGGTTCTATTAATTCTCAGATTTGTAACTCGATGATCAGGGGTTATTTGGATTTGAATGAGCATTTGAATTCACTTATCATTTTTGCTCACATGCATAAATTTAGCATTCTGCCTGATTCTTCTACTTTCCCGGCCGTTCTTAAAGCGACTGCACAGCTATGTGATATTAAACTTGGAAAAATGATACATGGTGCTGTTGTTCAAATGGGTTTCATTCGTGATGTCTACACAAGCACGGCTCTAGTGCACATGTATTGTTCTTGTCTGTCTATTTCCGATGCATCTCAGCTGTTCGACGAAATGCCTGAAAGAAATTCAGTTACTTGGAATGCGCTGATTACTGGTTATACACATAATAGGAAATTTAAGGAAGCTATCAATGCTTTCCGAGGGATGCTGGCAGCTGGGGCTGAACCGAGCGAGAGAACCATGGTGGTAGTTCTATCTGCTTGTTCTCATTTGGGAGCTTTGAATCAGGGTAAGTGGATCCATGATTTTATTTATCAGAATAAGTTGAGACTGAACGTGTTTGTAGGAACAGCACTTATTGATATGTATGCTAAATGTGGGGTTGTTGAGGAGGCAGAGAAGGTCTTCGAAGAAATTAGAGACAAGAACGTTTATACATGGAATGTCTTGATTTCTGGATATGGCATGAATGGCCAAGGCAATGCTGCTTTGCAGGCTTTTTCTAGGATGTTGATGGAAAATTTCAAACCAGATGCGGTTACCTTTCTAGGTCTCTTGTGTGCATGTTGTCACCAAGGTCTGGTCACAGAAGGGCGTCGACAATTCATAAGCATGAAACAACAGTTCGGACTGCAACCGAAGATCGAGCATTATGGGTGTATGGTTGACCTACTTGGTCGAGCAGGATTGTTAGAGGAAGCTCTAGAGTTAATCGAATCCATGAGCATGGAGCCCGACCCTATCATTTGGAGGGCTCTGCTTTGTGCTTGCCGAGTCCATGGGAATACGAAAATGGGTGAATATACTATCAGGAGACTTATTGAGTTAGAACCAAACAATGGGGAGAATTATGTCTTGCTATCAAATCTATACTCGAGGGAACGTCGGTGGATCGAAGTAGGAAAGTTGCGAGGAATGATGAGTCTCAGGGGGATTGAAAAAGTCCCTGGTTGCAGTTCAATTGAAATAAACAATGCAGTTTATGAGTTTACTGCATCAAATGACAGAAAACTAGAATTCAGTGCAATATATAAGCAGTTGGATAATGTGATGAAGAAACTGAAAGAGAATGGTTACGTTACAGGCACTGACATGTCTTTGTTTGATATTGAGAAAGAAGAGAAAGAGCACTCTGTGATGTACCATAGCGAGAAACTTGCTTTAGCATTTGGTCTCTTAAACTCTCCTTTAGATTGCACCCTAAGGATAGTGAAAAATCTGAGAATTTGCTCGGATTGCCATGAGTTTTTCAAGGTCGTATCACTTGTCTATAAACGATATATTGTCGTTAGAGACCGAAATCGTTTCCACCATTTTTCTGAACGCGTTTGTTCTTGCCGAGACTACTGGTGAACATTGAATTTGTTAGAACGAACTCTTCGGCAGTGCTATCTCGAGCAGCAGCTCAGCAATATTGCTTGTTTTCGCATTATGTTCACTTATTTCTGGACTTGCCATATGCTCATTCATGGTATTCAAAAAATGCAGAACTTCTTAACATTAGAATATGTCATTTCCAACAACCAAAATCACTGGAGAAAGCTTGAACTTTTGGTTGAAACGAGACATATTTAGCTATTCAACTAAGACTATTTGTTCTTGGATTCAATTCAACCAATTGCTGAAGTTTTTTGTGGTTAGCTCTAATGCATATCTTCCTTGATTCCTTCAAATTTGCCTGCCTGCCGAGGTGTCTTGTTCACTTCTTGGCAATATAGTGTCACCATCTTACTGTAGAAATCCATATCCATTGACTGCAGCGACAAAAAATCAGCACTTGAGTACAAAAAACTGTAAGCTTTTGCATCTTGAATCTGTTCTTCAATGAATAGCTCTTTCAATATTTTTATTATATATAGTTGGTCCCTCATTCACTTTATTCATGTTAGGAGCTAGTGTAAGTAGAATGACTCAATATCGGTTTAGTCTGGCCTGACGACTCTTTAAGAAACTGAATCGCGAAAGTTGACTAAAACCAGCTATCTCAATTATTTTTCAGTTTGCATTCTACAAAATCGAACCCATTTGTGTGTATTACTCGATTAGTTCATCTTATGTTTGATGTTCGACTTACTTGTGCCAAGAAAGTACAGAAAGGATCGGTCGGAGGAACGAAAGCGCTGGTGGAAAGGTTAGATTTTGGCTTTGTTGTTGAGTTGATAGAAGGCAGTAGAAACGGAGGAGGAGGGAATGCAGCAGCACAAGGAAAGGAACTGGAGCTGGGAGCCTTTGAATCAGTGTTAAGTAGTCCCATATGAGCTGCAAGCAGTGACATTTGAAGCTGCTGCTGCTGTATTCCTAGAGGCGTGACCATCTGCGGCACAATTGATCTGATACTGTACATGAACTGAACTTGTGCTTGAAGTTGCTTCAAATATTGAATTGTGTCATCCAAAAGTGAAGCTCTATCCATCTGTGAAAGGAAAGACAACTCTTTTAGCTCTCTATTAACCATTTCATTGACGATTCGATACTAAAGAGATATTTACTTTACGAGTTAGATAAGCGTGACTCAAGTTTGAAACCGAGCCTACGTTCTATATAAGAATGCAATTGATTATCTTGGATTATAGATTTTCTAATCTCCACATACCTAAGCTTACTAAACTCTACACGAGTTTTCCGAGCACCCCGGAAAACAATGACAAAATAATTCATGATTCCAACCATTTTCTCACCTTACTCCCGTTTGGCACCAACTTTTGCAGATCTTTCATCTTCTGGTTTATTCGGTCTCTCCGTTTCTACAAACGAGAGAACGGTTAATTCAATCCTTGAGTAGCATGACAAGAAGTTAAGTTGGTTCAAAGTTTCTTACTCTATCAGACCGATTGTGATTAATAGCTGCTCGAGTTCGTCCGATTGAGCAGCTCCCATCTGCTTTCCCCTTCATATTATGATCATCCTCCTGATTCAAACAACAAATCAAACCGTAAGTGATGTCCGCTAAAACAAATCAAGGAATACTATTTCCATTGGAATAAGGCATTTTGGAGAAGCCCAAAGCAAAACCACAAAAGCTTAGATTCAAAGTGGCCGATATCAATACTATTGTGAAGAGTCATGTTTATCTAACAAAAACAACTTCGTAACAAAGACCTTGTGCATCACCGAGACATCATCTTGAGCTAAATCCTCAACAGAATCTTCGGTTTTGAAGCTCCCGTGAGATTCCATGGAAGTCCAACTCATCAAAGCTTCATTTTTGCAATCTGGGTTGGATCGTGTCCGTTTCCTTGACAATGAACTATGAACAATGGACTCGAGGGTATCATCAGATTGGCTCCAGGAGTGGTTGGTTGAAGGCGTTTGGAAAAGCACCTCCACATGGGCGTCCATGGCTGCTTCCTGGTCATCCCCTCTCGCACATGGCCGTTCATAGTTGGGCCTGAATTACAGGAATCCACCCCAAAAAACAACATTATGGATGGTGGGTTTGAAAGGCTTCACCTTAACTAAAAAAGTTATAATGAGTGATAATTGAGTGCTTACATGGGGTTCCAGTTTGGGAGTGTCCAGTGGCTCATGCTCATAGTATGCAGAAGAAGGTATAGGTTCCCAGGTGCAGGAATTGAGGGACAGCTCTTTCTTTATCTCTATCTCTATGTGTGTGTGAGGGTATGTGTATATAATGCGAGAGATTGGGGGTTGATAGAGATATCACAGTATGAAACCGAGATAGCTGAAACAGTTCTTTACTTATTTGGACCACTCTCCATCAACTTTTCAAACCCTTTCTTTCCCACAAGGGGTGTTTATTCTCCTAGCCCTAGTTACTGTAGCTAACACTGACCCTTTAATATATATATATATATATATATCTATTTTTTTCTCTTTAATTTTGATAGAATTAAACAACGAGCTTCAAAATTTTTATATAATATATACTTTAATTTGTTAAATGGTTAGACTAAAGTTTTTTTATTTTTTATTTTTATACGCTTCCTAGTAATTAATTAATGTCATCCAAATTACTATAGCTATAAGTTTGAAGACTTTTATAATGATAACTCAAACGAGCTAATATTAGAGATGTTTGATGGTCGAGACGAGAAAGCCTTCTATGTCTACGTTCCTATCACTTATTTCAATTTTCGTTATCGAGATTTTTTTTTCATTTATTTTCATGGTGATTGAAACGAGAATCGAATTCTTCAGTGAAATTTTTCTTCGTTATTTGATGAATAATTTTATTTTTAAATATCTTTTATATTAAAAAAATATAAAATATCATGATATATTTAATAATATTTCATAAGCAAAAATGTAATATAATATTCTATCAATAACCTACTACCCTAGTAAACCCTACGAGAACTCAAATAGTCAAAATAGGAGACGTGTCGTTATGAGTATAACTCAAATGAAAGATGTTACTTATTTCAGCTTCAATGGAGGTTCGATCTTCTAGCTCCTAACTCCTCTAATAAACACAATATAAAAATTGATCGTTCCCTAGACTTTTTGGTTGTATATTATCATAAATATTCAAGTCGGCACAACTAACTATCTCATTTCTATTTTCACCCACACATGAAATAAATAATTAAGTCAAGTATATTTCTAGTTTCGACTCCTAAAAGGGACCATTTTAATTGTCTCAAATAAATGACATGATTTGTCTTAATCTAGAATTTACTCTAAAGATGTGTTTATACCATAATATTTGGTCCATGTCGGTGTCTTTTAGTTGACTAAATGAAGCCCAATTGAGAGACGCAAAATCGAAACGTCAATATTATCTAGTGATATAGTAACAAAATCAAATGGAGCACATCGTCCCATTCTTTTTTGTTAATTTAATTCATGAATATGTGAATTCGATGACCTTTAAGCTGAGAATATGACGTTTAAACCCGTTGAGATATATTGTTTATTGAGATTTTTTTTAATTACTGTATTGTTATTTGATATTAAAATATTTTGTTAAAAGAATAACAGTAAAATGTTAATACTTTTTTTTTTCAAGCTTTAATTTTGGTAATTTCATCCACCGACAAATTGATGGAGACAAGAAAAAACATTCATTACGAGGAACACACTTCTGAGGCCACATACTGTTGCAAATGTTTGGTTGATCGTTTTAATAAGGAAGAAAAATCAAAGTATATGTTTAAATTTACAATTCAATTGGATGAAATTAAAAAGTTTTAGATGAAAATAGATATAATTTGCTAAGTTCAAGTGTCAATAAGCTTAACTAAATGAATTTATTTACATTATATCACGAGTATAACTTAATTGAATAAAATATACATCATTGACTAGAAAATTAGAATTCGTTGAACTAAAAAAAAGTGCAAATGTGTTTTACTTGATAATGTTGCCTTAACTAAGACAATTTTTGTAAAGAACGATTGTATCTCAAGATAGAATAAACTACTAACTCTGAGTGCAACAATTCATGTGAGCAATCTTATAGAGATGATAGGAGTAGAGAATTCAAACATTCAAGTAGCCACATTGCTTCACGTAGAGTTATATCTTTCGATAAATAACGTATCCTCACGAACAAATGGGATTTGGAACATGTTTTTAAGCACATAAATTTTGGTGGGAAAAAAGTTGATGTTGGATGGGAATAGAGCATGTGGGACAGCCTTTGTTTCATTTGAAGGGATAGTTTCACTGTCTGAGCAAACAAAGGCATTGAAATTATGGTGGATGTGCCTAAAGGCGGCCGAGCTTGGAATAGACTGTTCCGTTCCTTTGGTGGCTCAGAATTGCCTTCACTTCCTTCATCGCCTTCAAGATTTTAAGTTATTTGGCTAATGGGAATCTACTATTTTTGGTGCTTCAATTCTCAGTTTCGTTCGTTTATTTGTTATCCTTATCTCTTTGGGACCGAGCTTGTTTAAATGAGTCCATGTGCTCGGTAGCCACTACATTATACAAGCCATAACACGACTAAGTTAAGACTAAGAAGTCAAAGGTTAGAATCTTTAGAATCAAACCCAAGCCACCGACCATACTGTTCCAACTAGAAAATAAGAACATAAAAGAAAAGAGGAAATCCCATGTATTTAACTTATCAAATCTTTGGAAGCTGAATCTAAACGAGAAAGATTAAGTAATTAATCTTGACCTCGTAAAACATGTTCGAGAAAACCCAATAGAGCACGAGACTAAAAGAGGTTCGATTGGACATCAGTTAGGCACCTTATGGTAACGACATGAGTAATACGACAGAAAGGTGCTAGTCCAATAGGTGTTGTGTGGTTCTACTCTACATCAACATAGCACACATACATGTGTAGCAAATTCAAATTACAAAATCTAATATCTCAAACTTTTAGGACTTAGTTCAAACAAACTTGCCTGATTAGATTATAGGGATATTGCAAAGTACAGAA